AGCCTAGATCCTAGAATGTGAACCATGGCTCTCAAATGTTTTTAATCTTCAAATCTCACATAACTTAAGTAATAACACACTCCTAAATTAAATACTGTCTATAGTTTACGCGAGTAGTACACATTTAAATAAAACACTTTAACGGTTTAAAACGCGATATATTAGTTAAACTTATTAAAACGTCGGGCCGAAGTTAAAAATCATTTCCAAATAAGTTTAACTAATATATCGCATTTTAAACCGTTGAAGTGTTTTATTTAAACACTCCTAAATGTTAAAATCCAAGATGCCTACTTATATAAAATTATCTTAATTTCCAGCATGTACAACTCACCTTAACCTTACAACCTCAACAACCTTCAAATTTTAAAACCATCTTCAAAATTCATAACACGGCAACAATTACGTTTAAGCACTATTGTGTTCGAGTAATTAACTTATCCGGTTTTAAAATTAATGATATTATGAGTGGATATATGAATTTTCGGCGGTTATTTTCATTTTTCATTTTCTGAGCTAGTAAATAAAAACACTAATGACATCAATGATCAAAGAGATCCCGGGCTTTTTGGTCCGAGGTAAAAATATGTTTATGAGTGTACCTTACGCGAGTAATAGGTACACATTTAATAAAACACTTTTAACGGTATAAAACGCGAAATATAAACGGCGTTTTCACCCCCCATAACTACAGCTACTGCAAAACAGTTACAGTCGGGCCGTCGTTAAATTAAACTTTAAATAAGTTATAATACATTTCGCGTTTTAAACCGTTCAACGTTTTATTTAAATATGTAAAAAATTGAAGTGTAAGTAGGTGTAGCGCATTAAATAAAACACTTTTAACGGTTCAAAAAGTAAAATGTAATATTACTGATGTCTAATACTTATTAATTAATAAAGAATTAGTATATTTGGCGTTTAAAAGAAATTGTACTAAACAATCCCATATTTCAGGTCTATATATATAAGGCATTTACAACAGGTTAAAGCACTTTGTATTCTCATTGTTCGTAAAAATACTTACCATAAGCCAGAAGCCAATATAAGGACTGGCTTTGGGCTCAATTAAAAGATATTAAAATATCCTTTATACCACTTTCGCATTATCTCGCTTTTAAATGATAATACTAAGTCTTAAGATAATCTTTTCGAATAATAAATCTTTAAAAGCACGTCTCTATTGTTGTTCTTCAAAGCTAAAAGTTTATCTTAAGTCCAAACTGTATAGACTGTTTCTAATAGTTTAATTTGTATGACAACAATACAATATGAATAATACTAATTTAATAAGAAAAATACTAAGGAGTAGAATTACTTTGACTAACGATTTTGACAGATGAGGGTACTATGGTGTTTATATGATGGAAGGTAAAACACCACAGTCATACTGCCGTCCTATTTCGTATATAGGCAAATCTTTGGACCACAAAGTCTACCATGTTTCTGACAAATTATAAATTGTACTGGCTCAACCGGCAAACAATTCTTTGCCATATGAATTATTTTGACGAAATTTTATTCTCATTAAAACCTTTCCCCCAGAGCTAATATTAAAAGATTTTGAAAAATACATTTTTAAGGAAAAATTTATACATATTTTTAAACAAACGCAACGGAAACTTTAGAAGATCAATAATTTTCCCAGCTTTGTCTACATTTTTCTGTGTTTCGCATCGCAGCATGCTGTTTTAAAGTCAACAGCTTTCTACGATAAATGGTCCAACCGATATAAAAATATATTTTCTATTCGAATCTGTAGTTCTTGAGATTAGCCCATTCAGACAAACAAACTCTCCAGCTTTATATTATAATAAAAGCTCAAAAATATCCATAAATCAAATTTCTTTGAAATAGGTTATGTCTTTGTATAGATTCATATTCAAAAACCTTTAAAACACTAACTAATCCATTACCCTTGAGTCTTATCAATTAATTGAGGTGTTAAAATAAACTTGGATATAGGCTAATACGCGAAGCTATCATAATTAAAAAAGTTATCTATTGTCAATTTCAATTTTTTAATTAAAAAATGTTTAGACAGATAAAATTAATTGATTTTATAAAAAACAAGTGTGCAAAACATGTTGGTAGGTTGGCGATAGCGGAAATAAATGAAAGCTTAATTTAAATGTTTACTGTTGACACGTAATTTTTCACTACAGTCTTACAAACATACATTACAAACAGAACTACTAAGTCTTTGACCAGCCACCATATAATACCTTATTAGCTTTCGAAATTCGAAAATCCAAGTACAAAAACCAAAACGCGATTTATCTGTCGACGGTAGTTCGTGACCCGAACGGATTTTTCAATATTTCTACCACCTATTTATTACGACATGTTTAAATTTTTTTTTTAAGTTATTAGAATGTTGGACCGAACCACGATCTGTTGATAATTAGCAATACGTTTCTAGTTTCTACTATTAATCGGTCGTGTTTGCATACACGTATATTTATGTATGGCTTAAAAAAATAATCCCCAGTTAAGCCACAAGACAAAGTAAAGTAAAAACTGTAAAAGGTCTAAAAGCCGCGTAATTTGTCCGATTCCGCAAAAACGCCTTATTAGAGCAACCTACCCTTGGAGATAAACAAAATGTATGCCCAGCTATTAATAATTTTGTACGGACAAAAACTTTCAGCCAAAGGGTCCTGAAATTGTTGTAATATTTTACATTGAAACACAATACCTAATATTTTTACATTTTATATTGCAGATACACATTCATACAATAAATAATATAAATACAAGTTTTTACATCTACCTCCTTTCGTTAACATATTACATACCTATTGAATAATACTTCTATTGAATGTGTATTACTTCTGTTAAAATGTTATGGTTACTTATTGTGTATTTCTCTTTTAGTACGTTGTTTTATTTTACTTCCAACGTGTAAATATCGCCGACATTCTTAAACCGCACGTCTATTTTTCAAAGGGTCACTGCAAAGTGTCATAATGAATGACCGGTACTTAATAACGACATTAATCCCTGCCCCGTCCGAGGGTCGCAATCTCATCTTCCATCCGCCCTGAGAACCGTATCCGCCCGCCCTTAGATTAGACGTGTCACGCTTAAGGCACTGCTTGCGGGCCTAGGGTCCTTTTATTTTCGTACATAAGCGCTGCTAACTGTGATAGCAACGTGACATATTCATAATAACGACTCACACGTTTTTACTCTTTTCCCCCACAAATTTTTTATTAGTTATCAATTTTCGATGGTTTAAGAAACTCCTTCCACCTTTATCATACATTGTTTCTATCACCAATCAAAAAGCTCATGAAACACAATTGGCAGACAATTCCAAATTTACTTCATCAATCAGGTGCCTGGCGAAAGACGTGGACGAAAAAAGACGATATCTGACTCTTCGGAATCTGAACCTGGGTATGGAATACCGAGGAGCGCAACCAATCCCACTGAGTGGGGCTTGTTGGCATCCTCGGACCATGAGGTTGGTGATTTGGATCTGAAGACAATCTTAGGTTATAAAACTATAGATTCAAGATTTAGCATTGCTTGTTCTTCCAAATGAATTAGGAGTATAAAAGCTGTCTCTCTTCTTTAGCTTGAAATAGCCTTTGTATTTTGCTGTACTGATCCAGTGACTTACAGATTGTCTTCAAATGATCGACAAATCATGTCTGTTTTAACGTTTCGTCGTTTTAGTTCCTTACCTCTGCCGCTTTTTCTGCACTTTGTTTTACTAAATGTTTATCGTAAATACTTTCGTCTTTCTGTTTGCTTGTATGTCGTAAACCTCTAGCTTCTAATTGTGCACACTAAATTATCAGGTGTTAAGAATTCCTCAAACTATTTTATTTCGAGCGGAAGGAGCGAGATATTAACGCCGATTTAACACAGATTCCTCTAGAATGGGTCCTTCACGAAGACCCATTAAAAGTCAGCTACCACCTCGAATTTCCAGCCTCATGCCATTAAATAGTGCTCCAAACTTTAATTATGTTCGGGCTGTGACCAATCGCGATCGTGTCTCGCGTATTTTGACGAGTCATCCAACGTGCTACTGAATCCTATACACCCAGTAAACAGACGCATTAGTGTCACCAACAAAATCTCTATAAGCACCTTTATTATTAGTAGTACAAGGCTTAAAATCAGTAGCATTTAAAACTTCACCGGCAGCGCTTTAGCTGCACGGTGCTTAACCGATATCAACACTGTACATTTAGATTTGTTATTTTAATTTAAGTTCTATTTCTGATGACAGTAAGGTCGAAACTCGATCTAGTAAATCCAACGAACGTAATAGAGATTTGAAATGACTCGTGTTTTGTCAGCGATAGATTTCGTTGCCCGAAGGAACGTGGTCCACAGTTTCATTGTCGACCAGCGAATAGCGTCTCGATAGGATGACGCGCCAGTTTTGGCTTGGAAACTAATTTGGAATATCACAATAAGTATCGATGGCGTACAGAAACAATCTTTTGAATGGCAAAGAGTACCGACATTATTATAACACGTACACGGCACGCGCAAAGCGGTACCTATTTATAATTTAAATATCATTCAAAGTAATCTACAATAAGCATGTTCATTTAAGTGTTAAGAAAATTGAGTTGTAAATAAATAATTATTTCCGTGAGATTAAAACTGAATTTGCTCAGCCGATTAACATTGAAGTGCTGACGATAATCGAGGCGCGTGAAAAACCTCCGTGAAGGTGGCATCCTGCATTTATTGCCGCGTTACTTGAGTAAATAAATGTTTCTCAAAACGAGTGGAATTAGTTCCGGCTCCCCGCGGATGTCGTTCAAGGGCATTGTTCACTTTCTGATGGATCCAATGATGAATGTTAAAATGTCCGAACGTGACAATATTATACACCAGTAGCCATGCATGATGTAATTGTATATTTTCGTATCAAAACTGATGTAATTCTATTCTGCATGTGAATAAAACTTTGAAATGTAAATCTCGTTCATGTTTTAAAGATTATAAACGTTTTGCTTTTATTATTCCAGGTTTTCGGCTCTAAGGCGGATCTGCAGCTGCATACGCAAATACATCTTCGGGAGGCGAAACCTTACCGTTGCACCCAGTGTCCGAAGGCGTTCGCCAACTCTTCGTATCTTGCGCAGCATTCTCGCATACACCTCGGTATCAAGCCTTACAGGTGCGAGATCTGCCAACGTAAATTCACCCAGCTGTCGCACCTTCAGCAACACATTCGCACCCATACCGGCGATAAGCCTTACCGATGCACCCAAATCGGGTGCACTAAGGCGTTCTCCCAGCTTTCCAATCTCCAAAGCCACAGCCGCTGTCACCAAACAGACAAGCCGTTCAAATGCAACTCTTGTTACAAGTGTTTTACACACGAGAAGGATCTCCTAGAACACATTCCTAAGCACAAAGAATCGAAACACCTGAAGACGCATATTTGCCAATACTGCGGAAAGAGTTACACGCAAGAGACTTACTTAAGTAAGCACATGAATAAGCACGCTGAACGAGCGGACAAGCGGCCGCCGATATCTGCTCTGGGTCTGAGCGGGCTCAATAGATCCCTGGCAGCGGCAGCCCCAACCGCAGCGCCGTTCGCTGACCACCCATATTGGCCGAAGGTAAGCCCCGACTCAGCCCATATGTCCGACGAGGGCGGCTACCACCAGCAACGGGAAGCTGAAGAGCACCACGAGCAGCAACTTCAACAACAGAGAGCTCTCTTCGCTCAGCACGAGAGCCAAGACGACCGTATTCAGCCGCCGGTGTCTTCCGCTGCAAATTCTGCGTTTACGCCGATAAACTCGATGGCGCCGCATCTGAATGGACTGTCACATCACAGCGCCTTGCCGACACGACCTTACCTGTATGACCCCTTACACTTCCAGCAGGGCAAGCAGCAACCTAACTCTTTCCCCAATCAATTGATATCTCTCCACCAGATCAGAAATTACGCACACCAACCTTCCCTCTTGCCCGCGGAACACATTCTCCCACACGCCCTCTCTCACAAAGATAAGCAGTAGACCTTGCCGATTTCCTAGTAGATACTATTCAATACTTATGATGGTATTATTAGAAATAAAGAAAATCTTATTAAAAGTATTTAGAATCTCGCTCTACATGACAGTGGTATTATGTATAAAATACGGAAATGTGTTGTCGGTAGTGAGGCGAAATTCAGTTTTAGACTAATATCGATATTGTGTAAAAATACTCTGGAATTTGTGTAGATAACAAAGTAAATGGAATCCGACTTTTAAATAATCTATTATATTGACACTTATGGATTAGTTCTCATCAAAGCACTGTTCTACGAAGTTACATTTGATAATATGTTATAAAGGTCAAAAAATCCTTTGAAATATTTCATTAAGAGAGTCTAAAGAGCTACTTATTTTAATGTGGTGCTCTTAACAATCATTAAAAACCTTTGGAATCTTTTAGATAAAATTTTCTCAATTTGAACTATACAGTAAGAAGCGTTCTAGACCACACTGTTGCTTTCTAGAAAACTAATCTTTAACTTCAAGGAAAGATGTGAGATCAAATACGTGAAATGTGAAACAAAGCATAATGTAAATGCATAATAAACTGCTTGAAGAGCACAATATTACTCTTGTCTAGATGTCCTGTGACTTATTATCACATTTGTCCTGTAGTTACGGATCGTACTGACTGTTATGCAAACATTATTTTATATGTAAAAGTCTAAAGAACATTTATGAATTCTGGTTCTATATTGAACTTAAATGTTATACGACAAAATCTCAGAGTTCCTGTAACATAGCTATCGATTAATCTTAAACCTTACTGGGGCGTTATCATTTTTTATGGTTTCTTAGACCGCACGGATCTCTGAACATCACTTCTGCACTCAGTTCCTACTTAGATCGATTATCTTTAGATTTATTTTCTTCATTCGCACCTTAATTTAGAAAATGTAGTCTTCCTTCAACTCAATTTGAATATTAGTGTTAGCATACAATGTATCTGCGTAATTAATTTTAAAATTATACGATTGTTTCCCAAAATATTATATTCAAGGTTAGCATGGTCAAGGATTTACTAATTCTGTATTTTCTTTTACGAGTTAAATTAATATTAATAGCGGTATCCATGGAGACGTAGGTACGACTGAAGGCTGAATACATTTTCTACTTGCGCTGTATGCTATAATGTGATCTATTTGACAGGTTGCCAAAACATTTTGAGTTTCGTCTTTGTAATCGCGTTTTGTATATATTTTGTAAATACGTAATTTTTTGAGGTGACTTAAAATTGTGACACTTTTGAGTCTAAAATGCTTATGCTCAATTATACTAGATAGTATATTAAGATGTCCGTTTAATTTGTAAATTACTTCATTGTCTTTAAGTTCTGTTTCAGAGTTAAGCGACACGGTGGTATTTGAGCAAATTTTTGTTTAGTTGTCGTACTTAACGTTGGTAATTATCCGTTTATCTTTGTTCGAATCGGCGAAGAATTGGACAATGTACTTAATCCTATCACGCTGTTGTCTGATCGGCGTCGAAGGTTAGCATAATTTGAGGTATACGATTTTGTTGATTTTTAAACGAATGTAGTTAAAAATGTGATAGGATGAAAACGGTGAGGACTTTTGAGAATCGTCTAATTGGTTTGCTATTTTAGGTTATTTGTTAGGTGGTTTTTTGTGGTCCAGCTTATTCCTTGGGGATGCACAGCTGCTGTCACAAAGTTAGCCAAATGCTAATGTTTAAGTTCTTGTACAAATGATGTTTATAAACTGCAGCAATATGATTCTTCCGAATTGTTATTAATAAGTGATCGCACTTCTTATGTATAGTATGAACGACATGACATTTAAACCAAGAGTTTTATCCAAAATTTTTCGTTTACTTATATAATTGGTTAAAGGGATTTTACGTCGCCAATATCTCTCTATTGTAAGTAGAAATGTGATATTGTAATTGATTTTGTTTAGTTAAGTGTAAACTTATTATTATTAATTAAATATTTTTGTAAGTTCGTTTTATAATAGAATTCGCTTCGTCTAGCGTTCCCGTTTAAGATTTTAGATGAAGGAGGACGAAATTTTTGTTACTTAAAATCAAATAAAAATTAATTACAATTATGCCAAGAATGTAGTGATTTTATTTTCACCCTGTTCACCTCAATAGAAGTACAACACAACGAAAGCAAAATATTTAAAACAGTAAAACCTTTTTTTCTTCATCAGAGAAAAAAAAATATCGATATAGAGGTTTTTCTGTACGTTATCGCCTACGTAACTCAGTTACATAATGCTTTGGACGTAAAGTAGTAGGTTCGAATCCCAGGTAATCGTGTCTTCCCTGTCAAAGCATTTCACATTTCAAGAGAGTAAAATTTGTTGACTGACACTGGCAAATAGTTTATTATATAATATTTATATCTTGCCACAATTGAAAAAAACAAAACATTTGTTGACGTCTATCAGTCATTTGGGGCTGTAGCGCCATCTAGTTTTTACAACGTACTCACAAGCACTAACTTCTAATAACAAAAGATATTCTTGAAATACGATGTCTTGATAAATAAATTAACACCATGTATTGTTGAGATCAGCTACAGATGTAATACACAGATTGTAGTCGCCAATTTCACAGATTAAGTAGGAATTAGAAATTTAACAAAAAAAAACAATAAATTAACTTTATCTATTTATTTAGTTAACAGTCGCAAAATTAATAAATAGGTTCTTAAAGTAGGTATTTACAATAAATAGGGATCTACCTACGTAGGTAAAAGTCATACACACCATTCAATTTATGAAGCAACATTATTTATACTTAATTAGATGAAGATGCAATACCATAGGTCATTTTGAGGTTTAGATTCAATGAGATTGATTAGTATGTTAGCAACGGATGTAGAAATCTACAACCAAAAACAACCATTGGTAAAAACAAAAAACGAACGACCAGTTCTCGGATACAACTTTTAAAAGAAAAAGTCGAAGAAAATACTGCTTACATATTCGAATTAAGTTTTTAATAAGTTACTGCATCTTTTGACTTATTTTTAAAAGGAATATTTATAATACTTTATATGCATTGTCATTTAGTCGCCCTAATACTAAACGAGAATCATATAAAATTAAAAATTCAAATAAAATGAATTAAAACCAAGAATATCCTATAGTAGCCACCGAGTACATCGTAACAATAAGGTTATTTGAAGACAAAAACTTAAGCAGAAGAAGCAAGTAAAACTGAAGCTCACAAAAATTTTAAGTTTCCTGACCAGATTTGACTAGAAGAATGTTCAAATAAAATTAAAACTGATAATTTTAAATATTTAAAATACGCTTAACATAATCGTATGATTCACGACAGCGTATTAATAACCAAAGAAAAATACGAATTATTTATCACGGTAACAACCAACAGACAATCAAAAATGTAACATTTTTATGTAGAACATGTACTATATTTTCCGCCGTACTATCGCCAACGTCCATACCACGTTGAATACACCGGTTCTCGTCCGATCACCGAAGTTAAGCAACGTCGGGCGCGGTCAGTACTTGGATGGGTGACCGCCTGGGAACACCGCGTGATGTTGGCTTTTGCTAATTTTTTTGGCGGATAATTTTTTTTTTCAATATTTTACATTTAAATAAAACAATTGTAACGGTTTGAACGTGAAATATATTAGTTGAACTTATTTTTTAATAATTTTAACTGAGACCCAATCCGTGATCATTTGATCACGTGTGCTGTAAAGCATCTTAAAAGTCGGGTCGTAAATAAAGTAAGTTTAAATACTATATTCTCATTTTTAACCGTTAAAAGGGGTTTATTTAAATTTTAGAAAATACGCTGTTCCTATACAGATATAGTTTAGTATTAATTTTCTTCTCTTTTAAAATACGCTGTCGTTTTCCACTTCTTAATTTAAACCTCCACCTTGTATGGCGATCCGGGGATGTGGTCATCTCCCCATTTCACGATCACGATGTATTCCCCCCTGTCCCTAACCACATACCAGCACTCATAGTTGTTCTTGCCTTTGTGTTTCAGCTGCACTTCGTCGCACGGACCCTTGGGGCCGTAGATGCCCACGTAGAGGATGTTGTTGCCTAGCAACAAACAAATGTCCTTTACTAGTAAGAACAAAATAGACAGAGAGTTTTGAACCTGTGCTAATACAAATATTATAAAACTGAAGAGTTTGTTTGTTTGACCGTTGTAATCTCAGGAACTACTGGTTCAATTAGATTTTTCTTGTGTTGCTTAAATCATTTATCGTAGAAAGCTTATTCGGATAAACGATTGAATTTTGATATAGAAGAACAGACAAGCACGATGTTCATTTTATGCAAGGTTAAATACCGCAGCCATATAAAATCTGAACTAGATGTGTTGTCGATCTATTTTGGCTTTGAATATTCCGAAATCCACAGATGCGATTAAACTTAACGATTTTATAGTAGACGGTTCATGGCCCGGACTGAACTTCGGTATTCCTACCGCTCATTTAATATCCAGATTTCCAAACGAAGTCCAACATGTTTCAACAAATTATAAAGTTATAGAATGGTGGACCTGGTGGGATTGGAATCACGATCCGTTATTAGCTACATTGCTAGCATTAGACCAACGTGCCCGTCAAACATTTACGTATTAATCAAAATAAGCTTGGGATTTCTCTATATCTTACCTGCATCACCAGCGTGTACTGTGAACTGGTTGTGTTTGTTCAGATAGGCCTTCTTGAGTCCCATACCCTTGCTGGTGACCTTGGTGGCATCAGATTTGAAGTGTGGCAGCACCGGACCCTGTTTCTGTGCACCTTTGGCCACCTTGTTCACGGTTTCGACTGTCACTGATGATGTCTCCTGCGCACCGATCTCCGCTAAATTCTCTCCTGATGATGAAGGGAAACAATATTTGAAGATCTTTTGCAAATTAAATTTTTCAATAGAATTTTATTTTGTTACAAGATCATTGCGTAGAAGCGAACAAGACCAAGTCAGTCAAGATTAATTCACTATTTGTTTAATAAGGTAAGCAGGTGACAAGAGAGTGAGAGAGAGTGAAAGCACGTTGTCCCCTCGTGGGGCATGGGGCGAAGACATTTCTGTGTCCGTTTCACTGATCCGTCCTTTTAACGGGCAAGTAGTTGGATCAGACTTCTGTGCCCTGCCCGACCGAAACAATTATATGTTTTCCTGGGATTCGAACCCAGAACCTCTCGCGCTTAACGCAATGCTAGGCAATACGTTTAACCATTTGGCTACAGAGGCGGTTGAGAGGTGACAAGAGACATTTTTTTTTAATTTCCTGATCATAAAATTTCAGTTCAGAAGTACAAAATTAAGGATTTTGAAAGTTAATAAAGTAACGTTAAAAAAATATATTTTTAGATATCAATCTACACAAGCGAGACTCGAACGTAACAAACGATAACAGTATCGATACTGTATTGAACATCTTGACTGGTACATTAAAACTATATAAATTCTAGATTGACACAGGCGTAACTCGAACCCAAGACACAACCCCTTCTGACAATGACAATATATATAAAAGAAAGTATTAAATAAAAATTGTCATGCAATTTATAAGGGTAATAAATTTATATCAATCGAATCGGTCAAATGATACCTGTTGCTTCGATCTTGAACGGTGAACCAACGATGTGGTGTCCATTATACTTGACGCTCATGTAGTAGAAACCAGGAGCCAAGGGAGTGTACCTGACCTACAAACAGAAGCAGCAGTAAGTATCATAAAAAACATCGGTAACGATGTTATGTACCTTCTTCTTCTACATAAATCATCACTCACCAGCGTTAACAAGAACCCTCCTAGCAGCATTTGAAAATATTTAAAATAAGTTATTTATTTAATTGTTTTGAATGGTTACCAAGTTTAGTAGATTTTTTATTTGTAGTATAATTCAGTGATGTACATACAATTTCGTTAGATCAGTCATGTTTAAATAACTATAATATAATAGAAACATTAATAAATAAGGGTAATATCTTATTTCTTTTAATGTTACGCTCTGTAGTGGGAGTAAAAAAAAAATGGTCGAATCGACCCCTACTCTGAACCATATAAATTATGGTTTTCACTGTCTTACTCGATATTTTTTCCCACTTTAGAAGTCCCTTGGACTTCCAATAACCCAACATCATCAAAACTCCTTCGATCTCTCGTTTAACAGATTAATATTAAAGTTTAAGCTGTAACTACCTTGTATCCTTCCTCCACGTCTGTACAGTCCATTGCGACCCTGGACGGTCCGTCCATAGTCACTGCAAGGATACCAGCTCCAGCGTTGCATGTGTCGATTATCAAGTCAGTCTTGGCACCTAAACATATACATAAAATGTTTAATCTCAAAGAAAGAAAAATAAAACACGCAAACGGTTTCAAACGCGAAATATATCAGTTAACTAGTTTACAAATAATTTTCAAGTTTGACCGACGTTTCGTTGAACCGTCGGGCCATTGTAAAGATAATTAAGAAAGAAGTTTAACTAATCTGTTTCGCAGAATTTATATTACTGAAACCGTTAAAGTATTTTATTAAAATGTGTACAACTCGAGTAAACTAAGGAAAGTAACTTACTAACCCTTTTTATTTCTTGTTAGTGATAAATTGTATTGTTAGTAAGCTTAGAATATGTTAGTAATTTAAATGTATATGTAATGTTCAAGATTCTAATGGATTAACAAGAACTAATAAGTAAACGTATATATATGTATCGCGTTTTAAACCGTTAAAGTGTTATTTTATAAACTTACCTGTCTTTACAGCCCCCAAACCAGGCCCGTGAGCGTGGACTGCAGCTGGATCCGCATCATCTTTTCCAACCTGGACATAATAAAATAGGACATATAATATGATCAGATTTTCATATCAAGAACTTATTCTGAATAATCCTAAAAAGTGTTTAGTTTAATAAACTTAATTAACAATTCATTCAACCCATTAAAATTTCCCCTTTTTTATTATTTTATCACAGAAGAATAGGACAACATTGATGACTCGAACCCACGGCCATATTATCATTAGTAACTTCTACCACTGCACCAAATCGTCAGTTTCATATTCAAACCACTAAACCACTTCATACATATATCCTTTTTCATAATGTAAGTTTCCAACAAATAATTTATTTCTGACCATACGTACAAAATTTGTGTTACCAATTACCTTTATTCTTAAAGGAGAAGCAGGTATGTGGACTTGGTTGAATTTGACATTAATGTTGTGTACTCCGTTCTCCCGAGGCATAAACCTGATGGAGTACTGGTCACCATCAATGTTCTGAATGAAGCAGTCATCTGTCTTGCCTGATGGTGAAACGACCTGCAAAAATATAGAATAACTAAAGGAGAAAGTTAAAAAAATAAGACGAACAATGATGAAACATTAGGTAAAACATTATACATAGTAAATAATGAAGCAATCTTTCCATCGTTAGTTTTTCCGTACCCACACTTGCTTCAAAGCATTCGAAACGTCGGGTCGTAGTTAAAAATAAGTTAACTATATAAACAAAAGTTTAGAACGAATGTATAAAAACGGTGCGACGTTTCGGATACTTTGCAGTAGTGGAGTGGTGGGTGAAATTGTGAGGGTGAAATTGCTACGCTAGCGCCATCTTTTTGTCGTAGTTGGTAATTGGAGAAACAAGCTGCAAATACCTTCTAAGTGTTTTAAACAAATGTGTAGGTACTACGCGCATACACTACAGACAATAGTAATTAATTTATTTAATATCTGACACGTTACTAACCGTTAAAATTGTGATTCGATGACTATAGAATATATAAGATCTTTTTATCTTAACGGATATATTTGAAAAAAAAACACTATTTGTAGTAAAAATATTATATATATCTGGAACCTTTCGTTTCTGGAACCTTGGACCTTTCGTGCTGTTGCTCTCACCAATAAAAGTAAATTTTTTGCGCACTAAACAACATTAATTTGAACTCGACAAAAACTTTAAATGGTTTATATCGCTTACTTTTAAAATAATTTCTAGATTATTCGCAGGAAAAAAAACTAATTTGCCTAAATTATTTTGGAAAATTTTAATTTAGGTATAAATAAAATAATGTTCGACTTTAACCTTCTTACGAGCTTAAATGTTATTAATTATTTATATTACTGTGCATTAGTCTTACTCCAAGGTGAATGTTAAAATTAACGTAATTCTTATAAAATATAAGTAATTGGTTTTAATAACTAGATTTAAGTATATTCTACGTCTTACTGGGTCAAAGTCACTAGTCAAAACAAAGAAAGAAAATTATCAAATAATATTCAATTCAAGGTTTAGAAAATGATGTACATATAATAATTATTAATTTTGTAGAATTAATAATGTAGAACCTTTTGCGTGTAAAATGAAAATATAAGTTCTTAAAGTTCTCTCAACATTAAAACTATACTTATGTGAATATTGTCGTAGTGTTTAACGGTCTAAAACGCGATATATATTAGTTAAGCTTATGAGAAAATTATTCTTAACTACGGCCCGACTAAATTGTGTACTTACTGTTATTTACTTAATCGAACTGAAATATTATTTTTGTATTGGTTGGTCTATTTATCGAGAAAGGATCGAGGTTATAAAGCATAAGTCGGCGACCGATAGGAACAAAGAAACAGAAGGAGATGTAGAAAAAACGCAGATAACTATTCATCCTTGACTGCTTCCGTTCCGTGGCACAAAAATAAAGAGGAAGAAAGAGAGAGAGAATTGAGAATGATTCATCTTTTAATGATGTAAAATAATATCGAGGACAGTGTATACTGAAGTTTTAAGTTCAACTTGCGTTAACGACGGGATGAGGACGTTTTGGGTAACATCTAGGTATAATTTATAAAGGTGAGGAGGTCGTTTAAAATAACTATTCCACGCGAACAAAATCGCGGGCACAACTAGTTAAGAACTAGCGTCAAATTCGTTGCCAGAAAAAATCGTAATCCGTATGAACGACCCCACTCTGAACTGAAAATAAATCAACCCTCTGGTCAGAAACAAGTGTTGCCATATTAAAGAACGCATCACGAATCCTTCATACATTCATCGCTGGCAACTCATAAAATATTATATGATTTATTGTGGTCACGTGCGGGCAGCGTGTTTTATCACATTTTTAGCTATACCCCGGGAATGTTTGATTGAGGATCTTCCAGGGTAAATTGCAAGTACCTTTGAAGTATTAAATGAGCATCACTAGATGGTAGGTATACATACAGCCATATAACATCTCAACAAGCTTTGAATATTGGAAACACTGCTTTTAAATTAAAAATCGATTATAAATTGAATAAATTTACGACTCGGGCAGGACTCGAACCGGCAATGTCAGCGTTCCGTGCTGTTGCTCTAACCAATTGAGCTACCGAGTCCAACACATCATCGTCGAACTCTATTGATACATGCACCTCTCGCGTAATTGTTTTTCAATTTATAATTATATATTTGCTTTTTAGTCTGTGGACGGTAAAACGTCATTCGAACGGAATTTCGATATTCCTATAACTCATTAAAATCACTAGACTACAGTTTAAATAAAACACTTTAACGGTTTAAAACGCGATATATTAGTTAAACTTATTTGAAAATTATTTTTAACTTCGGCCCGACGTTTCGGATGCTTTGCAGCAGCCGTGGTCACTGGGTCTCCCCGTTAAAGTGTAAAGTGTTTTATTTAAATGTGTACTACTCGCGTAAACTATAGACAGTATTTAATTAGACTACAGTTGCTATGTGGGGCATAAGCGAACAAATTTCTGCGTTCGTTTTACTAGACCTGAACAATTCATTCCCCGATATTCAAACCCAAGACAGTTCTTAACACAACGCTAGGCGATCATTGGTGTATGGAGGTAAACAAGATATACCTAACACGCGTATATTGCGTGAAATAAGAATTTAAATCTTATGGAAAATTTAAAATAAAATGTACTTATATTACGTTTGAGTAATTAATTTTCATTTGGGTTTTTAATTATTTGGGTTTTAAATTCAAGTATCTAAATATGGCATTGAATTCAAATTTAAAACCTTCGTGTGTCAAGGTGAGAACTAACAAATTACATTGCGCGTACACAGTAGCTCAATTGGTAGAATAACACGGAACGTTCAGGTCGTGGGTTCGAGTCCTGCTAAAACAAACAAATTTGTGACGTGGTCACAAGGTTCTTATAACGCGTTTTAAACCGTAAAAAGTTTCATTTAATTTGTACGATTCGCGTAAACTACATACAATACTGAAATTTAATTCTTTGTTCACTGTTTCTGTCCATTCATCAAATCTAACAAGCAAAGCTGCATTGATATAATACACGCTTCCGTCATGTTCTCACGATAAATCAACTGACCCTTCGTATATTGGCCAACAATTGTCTGTCGGGTCTTCCGAAGTATCCGAGATTTCGCATACATTTTTAATAGTCTTTATGTGTTGAATATTGATTGCGTACTTTATCTAAATCCAAAGATACAAATAGGTTTTCCTTTTATTAAGACAAAGATAGGTTTTATACCCCAGCCATATAGCATCTGAACAATATGCGCTCTCGACCTGTTTTGACTTTGGATATTTAGAAATCCATAGACGAAAACCGAAAAGGCTTTTTCATCTGTGGACAGTGGTTCGTGACCCGGGCGGATTTCCAATATTCCTAACAACCATTTAAAGTCTAGATTTCCGCGAAGTAAAAAAAATATAAATTGTGTAGAAAAATACTGGACGAATCGAATCCACGACCCGTTGATATTAGCTATACATTGCTACCATTATGGTTTTAGACTTCGTGAAAAGACGTGTGTCCGCCTATACCTATAAATGAGAAACATTTGGAAATAAATTAAATTATCTTTATCGATGCCCCACTAGGAGAAAAATGCTGACTGATGTAAAAACATACGAAGATATTTGACATAAGATAATTAGATGACCTAGAATAGAAAAGAAGCACGAACAACGAACATTTTGGATGAGAAACAAAATATCAAAAGATTATTGTAGTCGTGCTCAAATAGAACGGTTTTAAACGCAAACTGTATTAGTTACTAGATACCGTAACTACGTACGACCCGTAGTTTCGAAGTCAACATTCGTTATAGTAAAAGTCAATAATTATGTATAACATTAATGGTATAACTTTGGTAATAGACAAACAATTGCTTTAAAAGTCTATTTTAGATTATATAATAATTACTGAACGAACGGTTTCCGTCTATATTTGGCTTCTTAAGAGACTATTATTTTACTAAGAATGAGTAGTAGTTTGAAATTTAAATTAAAACACTTTTAACGGTCTAAAACTCGAAATATATACCAGCAGTTATTCTGGGTATCCAAAGTTGTTTTTGCAAACCTCCTCTTCAACCTTATAAATTTACTGTTACCTACGACGTCGGTCGCGTCCCCCCGTTCTTGCAAGTTAATCTTAATAGATAGACTTAGTATCGCAGAAATATTGTACACCATTTAAGAGGAATCATTGTTTGGTACATATTTAATTTGGTAGATATATTTCTTTCCACATTTCCCTCTGTATCTTCGCCCCTATTAGTTGCAACGCGATGTTTTATAGCCGTCCTCGATAATTTTTCAATTTGAACCAGTAGTTTCTGCGATTAGCGCGTTCAAACAAACAAACAAACTCTTCAGCTCTATATATTAGTATAGATTAATGATTTGTAACACAAAATACTTACAGTACCGCTAAGTTGACCCTTAGCACCATTCAACCTGATGTAGAACTGAGTTGGCTTATCCACTTGTGCTGAATCAGGGAACTGCGCCACTTCTAGAAGGTGAGCGTCACCAACTGCTGGACTGATGTACACCTTGAATGGGGAATCTGGGATGTGCTGCTCGTTGAACTTAAGACCGATACGGTATTCACCTGAAAAAGAAGATTCGCTATTGTCAAAAGTGCTGAAAAGGTTTTGTTTGTATACGTTCTGTAGAATTTCTTTGCTCCTTCTCTATTTGTTTTTGTTTAATTTAATGTCTAGCGTATTTAAATAAACCTTATTTATTACTGTCAGGGTAAGTTTTATTTAGATTTTTTACACATCCCTAAGACGTTTTAAACAGAATCGCTGTTTCTTATTAGAATGCAATCAAGATATGAGAAAGGCAATTAGTTAAATACTATGAAAGGTTTATAACCACGTCAATTGTCAAAAATTGTCACATACTAGATTTTTTTTAATAGAACATTTTAAACGCAAAAGATAATTAGCGCTCCCAGACCATGAAGCGTCAGCTTTATATGAAATAAATGGTACTAAACCATTTAATATATTCCGCGTTTTAAACCGTTAAAAGTGTTTTATTTAAATGTGTACTACTAGCGTAAACTACAGACTGGTCTCCCATAAACTAGTCTAGGGATTAAAGACTACTGGCATTTAATATAAACAAATAGTTCTACTAATGCTACCAAAATATAAATAGAATCGATTGTTGAAAATATAAATAACTGAATATTTAGAAAAAAATCAAATTAGATCGTTGAGCAAAAAATGTTCCGCTGTTCTTTGGATCTTTTGATATACAAGCAATTAAATAAAAAAGCCTAGCACCTGTTTCTAAACCAACAAATCACCCGCGACACAAATTACCCACTTCCTATAATACTTCCAAAGACCCGACGCATTTGCATAGTCCAAAAAACCCGATGAAAACGTAAAAAATTGAATAAGAAATTCATTAGAATATAAAAAGCCCTTCGTTTCGGGGAGAAGACGTCAATCCAAGTGAGCCACTAACGATGGAACCATAATTCTTGTTTGGACCGAGAGATTTAAATTTCGCTGTTATTTTTAGGGGTCCGCAAAGTTTACATAAACACATTTATATAGACTTAGACGTTAGTACTTTATTAACATTTAAGAACGATCTTCGCAAAGTTTAAAACATAAATACTGTCTATAGTTTACGCCAGTAGTATACATTTAAATGAACACTTTAACGGTTAAAAACGCGATATATTAGTTAAACTTATTTGAAAATGATTTTTAACTTCGGCCCGACGTTGCAAAGCATCCGAAACGTCGGGCCGAAGTTAAAAATTATTTATATCGCGTTTTAAACCGTTAAAGTGTTCTATTTAAATAACGATATGTTAAAACTGTATGTAATTTTGTATGTACTACAAAATTTTCGGTTACTCCATAAAATTATTATATGATATATAGATTATGTGTGTCTGTTTTATTTAAAATGCATTATTGTTATTGTCTTTTGTACATAGACTTTACAAGGTTACAACTACAATAAATCACGCGGTCTTTAGGTCTTTTGAGATATGCCGCATTTTAAACCGTTAAAAATGGTTTATTTTAGTGTGTACTATTCGTAAACTATTGATTTACTATAAGTAATAATTCGGATAGGGAATGTATCACTATACAAAAAAACGGGATTTTATGAGTGAAATCCTTTTTCCCCTCGTGGGGCATGGGGTAAACATATTTCTGTTTGTTTCACCAATCGGTTTTCTTTCCAAGGATGTATCTATTTTTTCCCCAATTCGAACTCAGGACCTCTCGCGCTTAACGCGATAGGCAACATGTTTTACCATTTAGTTACAGAGGCGGTCTTTCTATTTTATTTTTCATAGAGTAATGAAAAATTTAATCTTATTCCATTTAAATAAAGATATTTATAATATTTCTCATCTAAAGTAAACTTCCTCGTCGGTCGAGTAATTCGCACATTCACTATAGATTACGAGATCTGGTTTTTGATTCCAGGGTAGATGAAATGTCATTTTATGAGTTTGGTACTAGGTGTATTCGACTCCGTGTCTCGAAAAATAAATTATGTTTAAGTACTGTCTGTATAAAACACCTTTAACCGTTTAAAAGGCGAAATGTATTAGCTGAACATATTTACAAATTATCCCCCCCGTGACCATGGCCGAAACGTCGGGCCGTAGTAATAACTTGTAAATAAGTTTCACTAATATATTTTTAATTAGATTACGCTTATTAATTTTGTGGCAGTAGTTACTCAAGCCGATCTACCCATATTGAAGCGAAGGTGGATATAAGCTGTTTAATCGTCTATCCTATTTTAAGAGACCTATTCTTTGCTGAAACTTAAATATTGTCTGTTTATAACAAGTAAATTATCTCGATGTATAATAGGCATTCTAGTGACGAAACCGACACACGCTTAACCGCTTTTTAAGCGGTGACATCGCGGTGGGCATATTGTTGTTGTAGATTTACATTTCAAGTGTCCTTTTTTAAGCCAATTTTGCTGCACAAAAAGTGTGTTCCACTTTTTTGTTCACTTAGAATATTAAATCAAAAACCAATATTCTTAATAGAATAATGTGATAGAGTTTACAGCCTTAATTGTTAAAATATTTGAATTACATGAAATTTCAAAGACAATGTTGAGATCTAATATTTAAATAAAACACTTTAACGGTTTAAAACGCGATATATATTAGTTAAACTTATTAGAATCCCATATTAACAAAAATATTTTTTTTTATATGATAGGGGGACAAACATGCATGGGAATCGCTTGGGAATAGAAGGTAAGACATATGTTATCTAAACAAGTTGCGCTGTTGACCTATTTTGGCTTTGGATATTCGGAAATCCAAAGACGGTGACCGAAACGCGATGTACCTTGACGGTTTTTTCATCTGTGGACGGTGCTTCGCGACTCGGACAGAATTTCGAAAATCCTTCCACCTATTTGTTTAGAAAGATGTGGGACCCGCTGGGGATCGAATCCGCGACCCGTTGACAATTATTTTTCTTTATAACAATGTTATAAAAATAAATTATAGTAAAAGTTCTTAGACTTTTAACTTAAGACTTGTTGTACTATATTCTTAGATGGATATTAATTACAGGCGGGATTAAAACTTACTATCGATTATGTACCATTGCTTGTGCCATTTCGTGTAAATTCCAAAGAAATATTTAAAAAAAAAACGTAAGAGCGTCTCGGTATTCTCGACGTACAACTGAGAACTAAATTAAATATACAAATAAAGTAATCAAATTGGAACTATTCGCTAATAAAACCGGAAGCCCGACAGACTAGCAACGTAACGCGTTACGTAACACAGCTATTTGCACCTCTAGTTAGTGAACTTTTATTGGCTTAAAACTCTAAACATAAAAGGAATTCCAGTGCTTAGATGCAAAGCAACTGATTTTCAAATTCGTATTTCAAAATAAATTACATAATATATATTTCGAATTTTAACCCGCTAGAAATGTTTTCTACTTGGCTTTAATTTTTTTAAGAGGAAGACAGTCATCATAGGCCTCACTTGATCGAAAGTAAAATACCCCAGCCATACAAGTTTAGGTGCGATGTCGACCTAATTTGGCTTTGAACTACAGACAATACACAATATAGAAGTTATCAGTTCGTATCAATTATTGCACCAAATAATACATCTATACTCGTAAAAATTTACTACAGCGCGAATTCCGTCATATCGCTGCGTCCGAGTCGAGAAGAGTTAACTTTTTTCACTATAATCTCTATAGCAGTCAATTAAAATTACTTTTAAACACCAAAGGAAAGGAATCCGAGGTCTAAACAGAATTTGTCCCGAGCCCCATTGTGTTCGGGACGGTAAAAAATTCCGCCAAATATCCGACAAAGAAGCGGCGTCTTTTTACCTCTCGGATACATCATAAGTGTATCGCGGTTAGAAATTTCCGAGCTACCCGCATGAATAATGACTTAAGTTTGCGTTGAGACAAAGGCTCGTTAAACTTGTTTGATTTTTTGTTAATTAAGATTGGAAAACTATTATGGCCTGCCTATGCGTTTGGTGAAACTGCAATGTGACAAAAAACTTAGTGCAGTATTAAAAGAATTTAAGAAATTACGGGCTTTTTACCGACTACCTCCTATTTAGGCAAACATAAGAACTTCTTTTTGTTAGTTTTCTTGGCGTTTTATAATAAATACATCTATTGTACTCTAACAAGGCTTTGCCAATATTTAATTTGCTCTAAGTTTAAATAAAACACTTTAAAGGTTTAAAACGCGATATATTTCGCTGTGACCACGGCTGCTGCAAAGCATCCGAAATTTTCAAATAAGTAAATAATAACTATATCGCGTTTTAAACCGTTAAAGTGGTTTTTTTTTAATGTGTACTACTCTGGATACTACTGGATGTTCCAAAGACAATCTCATGTTCCGGGTGCCGATTTTGCTTCCTATAGCATATTTGAATAAAACGCGGAATATTAATTAACTACAATTTATTTTAACTACGGCCCGACGTTTCGGATTCTTGATTTTGATTAAAACGTATATATTTTAACTATGGCATCCGAAACTTAGGGCCTAATTGAATTGTAAATAGGTTAACTAATAATTTGGCGTTGTAAACTATAAAAATGTTTTATTTAAATACACATACATGTAAAACTACTCGCGTAAAGTAAAGACAATATTTTGATAGGCTGTTTTTTGCAATTTGTACTTAATTTCATCATTGAAAACTTAATAGTTTGTTAAAAATAATTAACATTATGTTACTTAATACTTTTATAACAGTCTGTGGAATAAACTTTCTCTCGTTGTGAGGTATGATGCAAAATTTATTTGTCTATCAGTCTTTTCGAGTTTATTTAAAAAGTTTTTAATAAAATCGAATCAACAAACATCTATCATATATCTTACAGACATTATTTTAATTAAAGAGGTTTTATCCAAGTATTTTTTGACCACTGTCCGTTTGTGGCCGGAAATGGGCACTCCCCAATCTGAGCAGCCATTGTAGATTATGCAAATATTGTAGCAACCGTGGATCTGTTTATGGGCCGTTATCAAACAACGATTAAGTGCAGATGTTTGAGTCATTTAGCATAATGCAAGAATTAATGTCACTTTTAGCTCGTTTTGTCACTCGAACACCTCTATGCTTAGTGGTTAAGCATGCAAAATGACCCGGGTTCGAACCTATACTAATATATAAAGCTGAAGAGTTTGTTTGATTTAAGTAAAACACTTTAACGGTTTAAAACGCGATTAGTTAAACTTATTTGAAAATTATTTTTAACTTCGGCCGGTCTCCCCGTGACCATGGCTGCTGCAAAGCATCCGAAACGTCGGGCCGAAGTTAAAAATCATTTAACTAATATATCGCGTTTTAAACCGTTAAAGTGTTTTATTTAAATCAGTATTTAGTTTGTTTGATTGTTTGAACGCGCTAATCTCAGGAACTACTGGTTCGTATTGAAAAATTATTCGTGTTTTGGTTAGGACTTCTATCGAAAAAGTTTTCATTCTATTAAACATTGTGACTAAAAAACAGCGGGAATTGTGAAAAAAAAAATGATCTACAAAACGTCCGCGACACTATATAGACATATATAAAAGATAATCGTAAAGGATGTCTATCCTTGCAAGAACGACGGGACGCGACCGACGTCATGGGTAATAGCTTAAATTTATAATGATGAAGACGAGGTTTGCAAAAAAATATTTGGATATCCAGAATTACTTGATAACTCAATAAACATTGAACGAACCAATTGCATATTGCAAATATTAAAAAATACCAAACCCATTTCCGTTAAACTTGTATAATTCCAAACGCAACCATAGAAGTAATCTAATTAGAAGTAATTTTCCTAAAGTAGTCTAATAATAAATTATAACAACATGCTTAAGTTTGCGTAAGAATTTTCAAGTGACCTGGCATTCTGATAGCAATGTCGGGCTAATAACAAATGGGTCTAGAGTTCGGATCTCTTTGTAAGTACTTTTTCTAAAACCTCCGAGAATTCATCTGGAAAATTAGGAAATACAATGGACGTTGTGTAACGGACTATCGTAAAATAGAATAGTAGTAATATGACTTGTCGAATGTAAGTAAATCCAAAATCTTAAACTATGTTATTCAGCTGTGGTATTTCATCTTCCAATAAGAGAACCCCACGCTTGCCTGCCTTCGAAGGTATGCATTGCGTCCATCTCTCAATTACGTCAACAACCAGACAGTAAAGCGCAATTTTCTTATACGAAAATCTCAAGAACAATATATTTCACCCTTCATCTGTATAAGAACGCACGTGGAAAAAACTCAACGAATTATCGCGAACATTAGTAAAAACTATATCGTAAATTCAAGTAATCACTGGCTGAAATCGCGACGCCATTAAAAGAAAAAAAAATTAAAAAATCGATCTGTCAAAATGGCTCGCGGTATTTCGCGTTCGCGGTCAAGGCGACGCCATTGGTCGCTCGTAGATGGGCGTGGTTGGAACAAGTCCGTATATTTATGAAGTGCACTTTGTTGTTTGTATGTTTTTATGGTCGAAGGTACGGAACCGCGGGGTGGATGCCATTTGACTTGCAAACTTCGATGGACACGATAAGCGCGCGTAAAATATACGCTCGTTTTGCATTTACCCTGACATGATTGATCGGCGTGTTTATTTTCATGGTGTTTATAAAACGTGTGTTAAGGCTATATTCGTTGGAATATACGGGGAACGGTAAATTACGTTCTATAAAGCAATTCACATAAATAAGCTATCTATTAATTCCCATGCTTTTTTATTAAAAGCTATTTATCTACTAAAGTGATAATTTTTCCAACTTTGTTTAAGAGCACATTTATTCTAAAAGAGAATTCCAGGTTTCTCCTTACCTCGTAATGAAAATAAAATATTTACATCGACGGGTTCGTTGATGTAATGGTAGCAATATATAATAATCTATGGGTCGCGGGTTCGATCCCCACCAGGTCCTATGCGTTTCTAAGGACTGGGAGGATTATCGAAATACCGTCTCAACGTTCACAGATTAAAAGGCTGTGAAGTTTGATCTCGTTATGGTGTCAGTCTGTGGATTTTCGAATATCCATAGCCAAAATAGGTCAACAGCACATACTGCTGAGATGTAATATAGCTGGGCTATTTCACCCACCATCAAGTGGAACTCATCATCATCATCATAAAAATCTAATTATATTAATCATAATCATCGAATTCTTACCAGGTTCATCAACTTTGTATGAAACGTCGCAAGATCCGTCCTTTCTGTCTTTGAAGTCGATCTCCGCCTAAAAACACCATTTCCGTTATAAATTATCATTCAAAATTATAAGGATGATAAGAGTGACTTACATTAATTGGTATAATTGAATTTTTCGTAAGCTACTCCATTGGGGATTTGTTAACGTCTAAACGTTAACAAATCCCCAAAGGCATAGCGAGGTGGATCTATGCCCAAGAACAATAAGCTAGTTACGTAGACAATGATTCAAGTAAAATAGAGAGATATTATAAATACGTTTATTCAGAAGCAAAACATTTACAATGGGATATTTGCTGAATTTTAAAATGAACTTTATATTATTTTTTAAATGTTAAAGAACCGCAGATAAGTAGTATTTTTGAATTCTGGTACATATTTGCTGCAGTATATCAAATTAAAATCCAACATTTAAACTGCACGATAGCGCAAATTTCACGAAATTACGCTACGATAGACTAGTGACGTCAGGACCTTATATTGGCAATTACCAATTGCCAATATAAGGTCGTGACGTAATTACGTAGTAAGACGTATTCTAACAAACATAATAAAGAGAGAAGAAAATATAATTTTAATTAAATACACTAATATAAGAAGACTCATCCACGTTGGGACTAATGTACCAAGACTGGCACTACACCAAGTCAATTCAAAAGCCAATACAAAAAAATTACGTTGCTAACCTTACTGGGTCCTTCAAGTGATATAGCCAGTTGTCCAGCGCCGGCCTCTCTAGTCCAAACATTGAACTCGTTAAATCGTCCAGCTTCTCCCCTCTCCAAGCCAGCACCGCCAGCCTTCACCAAGTGGGCACCTGAGTCCCTTAAAGGACCCACTGTGAACTGGAATGGGGATCCTGGGGACAAAGAATAAAAATTGTGGTGTTATAGCTTAATTTAATTGTTAAGATATAGAATGCCGACGTGCAAAAAGTGTCATGGAATTCTTCATTTCATATAGGATATCGGATTCAAGGATTGCTTCGATCTTCTTCAGAAAGTTAAGATAGATCTTGTATTGTCCAAAGATAAAAATACACTATACGCATTTATAAAATTGTAATTACTACGGCCTATAAAGTCTATAAAGCGTTAACAAATTTTACTAACATAAAAATCTGTCGTCGTGCAAACTTTAAACGGTGTAAAACTCGTAATTTAACAATAAAATCGTAGTTAAATAACTCTATTTTAAAAGTCTTTAAGTTTTAATGTTTAAAAAAAAACGCTTAATGATGTTCTGAACTAAGTGTGTTTTCTAATCTGAATTTTGCCAAATGTCGATAAATCTTTTAAATTGTATGTAATGTCTTGGTAATTAACAATACATATCGAATGAGATGACAATTTGCAAGACAGTGTCATCCCATAATGCCACGTAAACTCTGTTCGTTAAATATTAAATAACATTTTGTAAAAATTTAAATAAAACACTTTAACGGTTTAAAACGCGATATATTAGTTAAACTTATTTGAAAATGATTTTTAACTTCGGCCCGACGTTTCGGATGCTTTGCAGCAGCCGTGGTCACGGGGTCTCCCCGTCAAATAAGTTTAACTAATATATCGCATTTTAAACCGTTAAAGTGTTTTATTTAAATGTGTACTACTCGCGTAAACTATAGACAGTATCTAATTTTGTAAAAAGTCAACTTCAGGGCATTTATCTGTGGACGGTGGTTTGTAACACAGACGGAATTTCGAATATTCCTACCACTTATTTAATTCCTAGATTTCCAGATGACATCCAACATGTTTCAGAAAAACTATAAACTAATTAGAAACATGTTAGCCCCGGTGGGCGTCGAACCCACGACCCGTTAATTATTAGCCCGTCAAAAGCTCATATAATGCAAAATAACCTATTGCCAAAAAATATCTTTGTATCTTGACCTGGTATATGAATTTCCCTGTATTTAACAGACACTGTGTGGACACCCAGCTCCTTGGGCACAAAGTGAACGGAGTATAGACCGTCCTCAACTTCTTGGATTTCCGCGTCTTCGGAGACACCACCTGGACTTGTCACAGTCGCAGCCAAGTCGAAGGACGTGATACCTAGAATATAAAGATGTAGTAAACATAAATGTAGTATGGAAAACAAAGGAAATGTCCAGTTTGACTCTGTGGAGAATGAGGCACACTTCTGTATCTATTTTATTAATAAGAAAATTATTGTTAAGACTCAGGACTTCTCTAACACTAAACCACGGAGAAGTGGAGTTACAATTAAATAAGATATTTTATTACTTAAAAAAAAACCCTTATAGTGTTTTAAAACGCGAAATGTTTTAGTTAACTTATTTATTAATATTTTAACAACGACCCGACGTCTGATGACCCGATGCTTTGCAGCAGCCGTGGTCATGGGGAGGACGGTCTCCCCGTAACCACGGCTGCTAAATATTAATTGTTCAATTACCAGTTCGGGTTTTAAACAGTTAAAAGTGTTTTATTTAAATGTGTACTACTTGCGTAAACTATAGACAGTAAATGCTTATTTACCAGGCATTTTAAATGTGAGCTTGCAGTTTGTTCCGACCTCCGTCAGTGGTGCTGGGTCGCGCTGTCTTTGTATTTTTTCCCGCTGTCTGTTGCTGCCTTCACCAGACACCTATTAATATACAGACATATTTAACAAACAGATTTCCAGACGAAGTCCAACATGTTTTAGCATTATAAATTGTTTAGAAAAATATTGGACCCCGTGGGGATCAAACCCACGACTCCGTCAAAAACACAAAAAAGTACTTACTTTGACCGTAAACGGAGATCCTTCCACATGGTGATCAGCAAACTTCAGATTGATAATATAGTATCCGGGTTCAGTCGGCTTATAGCTGATAGACAGCACGCCGTCTTTGCTGTCTGCGCACTGAATTTCAGCCTTGCTAGGACCTGCAACGAACAACAACTTATTTTATTTTGAGTATTCGAAAGTGTAATTTAAAAATGTGTTTTGAATTTTATTTGACTTTCTTATTATTATTTTTATTTCCATTTTAAACTTTTCCATAGTATTGACATTTTTAAGCAAAACCTGAAATAACAACGCGTCTTTCGCTTGTTACATAGAACAACAAGTTTGACTTAATTAAAAATCGATTTTAGATCGAAAAAAATTTACAACACGGGCTGGATTTGAACCGACATCCACAGCGTCCCTGTGCTGTTGCTCTAATCAATTTAGCTACCAAGTTAAGATTAAAATTACATCGCGCTAGAGGTACAAACAAAAGGTCGAAAAAATTCGACGATGACGTGTAGGAGGATTTTTAACTTATATAATGCGAATAACATCTGAAAAATATGAATGTTTACAAAACAACTATTTAAGATTTGATTTCACAATCTAAAAAATAGAATCGTGAACAACAATTACCTTCGATAGACAACGAAAGACCACCGTAGCCAGCGTTTCTTGTGTCTACCGAAAATGTATTTTCCCCATGAGTCTTTCCTTCTTTCAGTGCAGTACCAGATACCTGAAAGATGTTTCGAAATTTCGTCAGTTAGTTAAAAAGTCGAGATTTTCCTAAATGCTCGCCATCTGACGACTAAGGTGCTTGGTAATTTAATATGCGGACGGGGAACGAACCCACGACCACACCGTGACCTAATAAGTGAGCTAACGTCTCTCATACATTATCATCTAAAAAGAAGTTACTTTGCGCGATAGGTGCGTGAAGCATTTAGAAAATTCGATGATCACTCATCACAAGGCAGCTGAATGCGCAGCATTCGAGCAGCAGCGTACTGTAATCGTGAGTTCGAATCCGCACTGGATTATATTATGTCATAATTCATAATAATAATAAATCTCCATTTGGAATTAATTTAGTACAATGCTGGAAAAGAATTAATGCAATTAGAATAAAAATATTTTTAACTTAATTTGCAGAAAAGTGTTGCCGAAAAAGACTTGCGTACTTTAAAATATTAATTTTCAGCAGAACCCTACTGTTCCTCTGTTAGACTGCGCTCATACAACTATTTGATATTTTAAATAACAGTTATTCGTATGTCGAATGCCAATATAATTATGGTGGTTTACAATATAAATAAAAAATTATTTTGCACATTTCAAAAACCAACAGAAGTAAAAATTGAAAATATACATTACCTTAACTTTCTTCGCGTCACCGACTTCTTGCTCCTGGACGGTGATTGTAAAGGGGGAGTTCTGGATGTGCACTCCCATCTTCTTTACGGAGACGATATGCTGTCCAGCCTCGCGAGGAGTGAAACTTATACCGATGTTGCCAGATGGCAAGCGTTTGAGGAAGCATGGTTCTTCAAGACCTGATGGCGCCTGAAATTATGAGATAACATGTAACTTGCTTCTTATAAAGTTAAACTATCTTTTTAATGATTAATTACTTATAAAATATAACCATTATGGGTCCAAAAATATCCATTGTTTATTTTGAGAATAAATTATTGCTATACTATCATATCAGTAATGACTGTCAACACTTCTCCTTAATTTAATTCTGTCATTAGTTATTCATAAACTAATAATATTGCCTTTTTATCATTTTAATGTCAAATATCGTTTAAATAACATTAAACATGATAATGGTAATTGCAATAAGTCAAAAAAAATAAAAAAGTTTAATCAATTATTTACTATACTATTCAATCATTTGTTGCTATAAAAACCTTCAAGCTATTGTCTTTTGTTTTACAAGTTCCGATGTCTCAACGATAAAAAAGCCTTGCATTCCGTGACAGTTTTTACTTAGTTTTGTTCACGTTTGTGCGATGTTGTTCTAATGAAACGAACACAGAAATATGTCCGACAGGGAACGAAACGAAATTTCACTGATATTTTATGAGTGTTTGCTATTCACCTGAATTGAGGCGTTAAGACTACGAATGTCATTATCGCTGATCTTTCCAGGTAGAGTGACCTCACTGCAGCTGCCAACGGAGATCTGATTTCTCTTTCTACCTTCTCCTGTCACCTGAAAAATGTTTATAAAAAATAAAATTCCAAGAACCCACAATTTTGACGACCGCACTGTTCTTAGGACTTCTAACAAAACATATTTTTTTTTAGCTACTAAAGACTTTTTTCATGACACAGGATACATGCATGGAGTTGAAGATGAAATTCCCCAGCCATATCTCAATAAATGCGGCGTCGCCCTATTTTAACTTTGGATATATTGAACTAAACTTGAGAATTATTTTAAAAACTAAAAAAATATAGTGATCCAATTTCGTAAAAAAATATAGTTACATGGCAAAAGAACATTGGCCACGTCACCTAGATTAAATAAAAATTCGAAGACTGATACTAAACCAGGTAATCTGCATACCTTAGCCATAAACGGTGATCCTTTGATGTGTTTGTCTCCAAATCTGACAGACACTTTATATTCGCCTGGAGCCGTTGGCAAGAAAGATACAGCGACAGTGCCATCTTTGTTATCGTGGCATGTTATCTGTAAGAAAATCAATACTTATACTAATAAATAACTCCTTAACGATAATTAGAAAGTAAATAAAGCCTTAAAGTGGGACTGAAAAGAATATTAATTTAAAATAAATCACTTTTAACAGATCAAAACGAATACCCACATCGGGCCTCGAGTACACGATAGACTGCTTCGGTCGGGCAGAGCACATAAGTCTAATTAAATACCAGTACCTCATACCTCACAGTTTGGTCTATTAAGATGATAAAAAGTCACAAACCTCAGCTTTGCTAGGACCTTCAACAGCCAACGAAAGTCCTCCAGATCCTGCACCCTTAGTGCTGATGGTGAATAGGCTGGGTTCACCACTTACTCCACTGATCAGTCCAGGGCCATAGGCTGTTACATATCCAGAAGGGATGGAGTCTACGTGGAACTTGTAGGGAGAACCTGGTAAATAGAATGTAGATTAATAAATGAATGGATAGACGTAACGTGTATTTGTATGTCGACCAACATATTGTAGTAACTAAAAAGCAATCATTTTATTTATAACCCTAGCTGTGCCATCTTGATAAACTTAAGGTGTTAGCCACGACGTCAATCGCGTCTCTTCCCGTCGTTCTTGCTAGTTAATTTTAAAAGACATATAGTCGCGGAGTTTTTTCAGATCATTTAAGAGGAGTCATTCTTTTATACACATTTTTAAGGTATCTTGAATTGTTTTCGCAGCGTACGCATCTGAAACCCACAGAGACGAAATTCTCCCGTTTTGTTTACATTTCCTGCTGTATCTTCGCTTCTATTAGTCACAGCGCGATGTTTTAGCCTAAAACCTTCCTCGTTAAATGTTTTAATCAACACCAAAAGATTCTTTCAATTCGAACCCGTAGTTCCTGAGACAAGCGCGTTCAAACAAACAAACAAACTTTCAGCTTTACATATTAGTAGAGTTATATCTTTCGTAGCCATTTTGAAAACCTTTTTTAAATATGGAACGATCTTTAACTCCGTAATATAACCAAGAAGGTAATCTATCAAAGGTTGAATTTAAAATTCGAACTGGCTTGTACATAAAAAAAATGTTTCGTAAAAAAAAAAAACTTTCGCGCGTAAATAATCATTGTTACCAGATGTTTGTCAACTTCGTCTTTGGTTGTGAGAAAATTCTATCTAAAAATACTGCCTAAGAATGCCTCGGCATTGATGGATATACGAATATTTGCCTCGGCTTTGCCACTGTCCAAATTCCAGGAAAGTAAATTAGACCTGAATTTGCTGACTTACCACTTCCTATCCGATAATAAATTTCTCGAAAATCAGGAACATCTTATAGTTTTGAAAGAATTTGTTCCCGCAAAAGCATATTAGCGAGCTGGTGGTTTGTACTTCTGTTCCCCACGTCACTATTGCCCGACGTGGGGGTACATTAGGCATTCACACCATCAGTTAAAAAGGTTTGAAAGAAGTATGAACCTTCTTAAATCAGTAGAATTTATAGAAATACCTTGAACATGTTCTCCATTATATTTGACATAAAGCTCGTGGACTCCTTCTTCCCGTGGTTCATACTTGATGCTGACCGTACCATCTCTGTTGTCTTCGATGACCGGCTTGTCGATGTTACCACTCGGCATCTTTACTTCAGCTGAAATATAAATTGGAAGAATTAAGACACTTTAACGGTTATAATGGTCTCCCCGTGACCACGGCTGCTGCAAAGCATTCGAAACGTCGGGCCGTAGTTAAAATATTTTCATATGAGTTTAACTAATATATATATCGCGTTTTAAACCGTTGAACTGTTATTTAAATGTAAACTACTCGCGTAAAGTACAGATAGTATTTAAAAATAGAATCTTCTCTATACCCAACCCAAATTATTGTATGGTTCGTGTAGTCTTAATTTTCGGGATACGTACAGAATTGTTATGTTTTATTATTATAGATAGAAACAGATAAATGTTTATATAAAACACTTCTAACGCTTTAAAACTCGAAATATATTATTTACAATTTATCATAACTACATGCCGCAGCCGAGGTCACGGAGGGACTGTCCCCCCATGACCACATAGATGTCGAGTTTTAAACCATTATAAGGGTTTTATTTAAATGCGTTATACCCACGTATATTAAATATGTAATACTAATGATATGTTATTAGATTTTACTAACGTGGTTGCAAGAAGACTATTATTGTACACGTTGATAACGCAATTTCAACGAAGCAATTTAAGGGATTAAAAGTTCTTACAAACGTCTTATTAAAGCTACTTAGCTAAGGGAAACTATCGCGTTTAAATCCGTTCATTGTTAATGAGAGTCAACAGTGTACAAGTAACATGAATATCATTCCTACAAACCTTTTCTAGTATCAATATGGAAGATGGTTATCGAATTAATCGGTGTAAAAGCGAGTCCAAGACCGGTCTTGTTGAAACTGATCTTGTGAGACTCCGAGAACACTATCGGCACTTCCTCCTTGTCCACCTCCGACACCGAGAAGTACTTCTTACGGTCGTCGAGATACAGACTAGCTGTCTCACTCCAGTCACACTCCTTGTTACCACCGACAAGAGAATTCCACAGTCCCATTAACGCCATTTATAGATTTTTAACACTTGAAATTTATACGGTTAATGTGTTGTGTGTTCGCATGTCTTTATTGCTACGATAACGTATTGTGCTACGCCGTTTTTCGTGAAACGAGTAAAATTAACTGCGCGAGAGGTGCATGTGCATCAATAAGTTGAAAAAATTTGACGATCAGGTGTAGGATTCGGTAGCTCAATTGGTTAAAGCAACAGCACGAAACGCTGACGATGCCGGTTCAAGTCCTGCCCGAGTCGACATTTTTTTTTGTGGAATCATTATTTGAAAGAAGTTATTTATTATAAAAAAAAAACTGACGGAAATTCAGTTACAAAAGTCTTTTTATCTGACAGGAAGGAACAAACGTAGGGTTTTATTTTTATTTTATTTTTTTATTTATATGAAAAACACTTTTGAGTTATTTATTCGGTGTAGTGGTGTTAGTTTATATTTTAAGTTTTGCACTGAAAGCGTTTCGTATATAGTTTTTGGAAGGTTGTTAATAAATTTTGGAATTTCAATGGTATTTATTGGTATTTCAATGTTCGTTTACCGTATAAGTTATTAAATTTTGGAAGATTAATATTATGCTTTCTTCTTGCCCTGTGAATGTTTTCAATGTCTTTGCAATAATTGTCAAAGGTTCACTTGATACAAAGTAAAATACAGCCGAAATATGAACATGCGCAACACGACTTTTCAGTCACACACCGTAATTTTAATTGTTCCCAGAAATCCATGTACAACGTCCATTCTTGGAAAGTATTTGTGAAATCTGTGCCCTGGCGGACCGAAACTTCTATCTGAAACTAGTTTCCCGGAATTAGAATCCAAGACTCGCACTTTACGTAACCAGGCGGTTAAGAAAGATGTAGGTTATATGATTTTAACTTAACACATAACCCTATTTTGAGATACGCAATAAAATGTGAAAAGCGGATGTCCCAGCTATATAAAACTGACATAAATTTCTGATAATCGATTCGTGTTTATGTTTCTACAATCCTGTGATTTAGGATGTGACGTCACAGACGGTGTTATTGAAGAAAACACTATTTAAATGGCGACGAGTCGCGCTGACAGATTTATTCTTTACTACGGATTATTTGTGATTTATATTTTAATGTTTACGTTGAATACGTGCAATTAATTCGTGAACTTTAAAAACGGTAAAGTACTGGACAATTACTAGTACTTAATACGTTTCGATTTCTGGTTTCCTTAAATCTTGTCCATAAGTCTAATCATCTACCTAACAGAAAAAAAATCGATCAATCTACGAATGAATTACCTACTATGTAAAATCATATTTGTTGTATACTTTAAAAATAAAACGAACTTTTACTTTACAATATGGCGACCAAATAGGTAACTCATTAGAGGTTTAATTTGAATTTCAAACTGGCTTGCACGTAGAAAGGTGTTTAGTAAAAAAATGTTAGCCTATTTCCAAAATTCTAATTCTATATCCCTAGCTTACTTGGGTTTTCGATTCAAATATGACTATCAAACAACTCGAAAACCCAAATAGTTTACCAAAATGTCTGCAAAAGTCTGTTGCAATTCCTAACTCAATGTGTGAATAATTATGATAGATTACAAAAACTACATACATGACACTATAGCTCATTTGGTGTAACATCGATAGATGTTGATAGTGAGTTCGATTCGCATCTGTGTAATTTTCCATCTAAAAATAAATGCTAAATTAAATCAATTAAGTAATAGACCGTGCTGAAATTCCCGACACGAGCCAGAATCCAGTGACGTCACGCACCACGCAAATCATCGCATTTGACAACATTTCAAATGTCGCCTTCAAATATAAAACTACTTGTTTATTATACTTCGAATGTTTAGAAAAAAACATAAAAATACTTGGCATCGGCCTCCGCTTGAATTAGCCTGTTAAATGCGATGTCGACGATGACTGTTTAACGAGATCCGAGATCTTCAGCTGCTTTATGGTATTGCCTGTTAAAATTGATAATTTAATAGTTTTGATTGTCATTGATGTATTTATTTAATTGGTCGATACGAGAGAAGATAGGGTTGTGTAAAAAATGAAAATAAAAGGGATCCGTGCTGCTCTAACCAAATGAACTACTCAGATTTTTTCCATTTACTAAGCACTGGTCTCTTTTAATAGCTACGTGAAAATATAAATTATAACCGTGATCGAAGTCTTAAAGTTCTTCCTACCAGAGAGAATTTTTAAAAATAAAAACATTCTTAAAAAACAAAATCTTATAACAAAAAAGTTTTCCTCTGACCTGTACCTATCTCAACACTTGACAACAAGGCTTTGAAAAGATGTTGTTGGTAAAACTAACTAATAATCTTTTTCACATATTGCACATGATGGCATTATATAAAATGTTTTTTTTTTAAGATTGAAAATAAAACACGACACAGGTGGATCTTCCGTGATATTTGCAGGAATGTGTGTTGATAATTTCGAATTTACGAAATAACATGTTTAAAACCCGTTCTCTTAAATTTAGAATTCAAAATTTATGAGCATTAAAACGCCTATCTCCATTCACGTGAAAAAATATTCACGCTCCAACAATAACTCACGCGCAGACATCTTTTTAAACTGAGAATTCCTGAAAAGTGATGAATGAATTCGCTCCAGATATCGCCAAAACCGTGTTAATGGACTCATAAATATTATGGAGAGACGAGTGAATCATTAATTTCTTTTTGATCGTACAGTTGGCATCTTTTAGTGCACACTAACTTCATGAAAGCCGAACATTTCATACGACCGCGAAAAGAACAGCTTGTAACGAGAACCGGTGTAATTAAAGCGATTATATATTGAATTGTGTTATATATAAATTATAAACTGTATTGATTTATATTTAAACTAAAATGCAGTAAATGAAACATGTAATATTGTTTTACCATATGCATACATTATTTTTAAATAGTGTTTAGTGTTTTTTAATGATAAATAGGAAAATGAAATAAAAATGTATAATTATTTTTTTTATATAACTTATGGCAACATTGTGTAAGTTACTAAATTACGATGAAATTGATGCCTTTTGAAAATTAGATTTTCGTTAATACTTGCAATATAAAAGCAAGATGTTAAAGTACGAAACCGCTCAATCACTTTTGATGAAATTTTATGTTCCTCATAATCTGGTGCCGTATGTTTTTAAAAAAGTCTGCGACTCGCGAACGAGGTCGCTGGCACAGCTAGTTAAGTATATATTTCCGCATTAAGATAAATACTTTAGTTTTATTTACAAGCAAGTAGTTGATCAGACTTCTGTGCCCTGCCTGACCGAAACAATGTTTGTTTCCCTGGAATTCGAACCGAGGACCTCTCGCGCTTAACGCAATGCTTGGCAATACGTTTAACCATTTGGCTACAGAGGCGGGCATGTAACATAATTTTGGTAAATAGAAACGCTCGTATAATTTAAATGAATCACTTTTTAACGGCTTAGAATGCGAAATGTATTACTACTTAAGTACTTATTTATTTTTTATAGACGGATTATTATTTTTTTATTTACAATTTATTTTATCTACGGCCCCATGATTCGGATGCTTTGCAGCAGTCGTGGTTCAGGGGGCGGCTGTGATCATTCAAATAAATAAACCGCGTTATTAAAACAAATCGTAAATAGGATAACTAATTATCTTCGCCTTTTTTATCCGTTATTAAGTGTTTTTATTTAAATGTGTACTCCTCGCATAAATTTGACTTCTATAATTATGTTAACATCTCAGTATAAAATTGGAAAAATCAAGAGTCATATAATAATTTAGTTCAAAAAATATAAACAAACAGTTTTAAAATTGAATTTTAATATTAAAAAACGCTGTCTTTGCATCTCTATTAATTTGTTTTCCATCAGCACTGAACGAAAGGTTTAAACGAACGAGCGCCGCTCAACTTTCCGACAGAAGCGAATGACAGCAATTTGTCGCTACAAACTAAAATAAAATATAAGGAATGTTAACAAGATGAGTAATTCGCGTTGAAATTAAGCCAAAATATTGGAGGAATCATGTTTAGCATTAATATCCTGC